GCTTGTAAAAATTAAAAATGTTCCAAATATCAACAGCATGGAGGAGAGAGCAAGTTTCGTTTGAAGGTAAGGCTTAGCAGACAGCGACTCTCTATGGCTCTCTGTAAAACAAACTGTTTTTTAACCACACTGTTAAACCTTTCAGAAAAAGTGAGGAGTGAAATCCATTAGACTCACATTTTACCCTGGGAGTCTAATGGGTGTGAAGCACTTTTGGAAACACTCCTCAAATGGCTATTAGAGGAAGTATTAGGAAATTAATTTTCCATTCCTAGTGGTTGCTGATTGGTCAGTATTGAATAAAGGAGTCAAAGCACTTTTCTTTAAGCACATTTAAACCACATAGCCAAGAGCTACTGGACAGACTGCCCGATATGTTGTTGTTTAACATCTACAGTAACAAATCTTGAGTACCTGTCAAATAAAACATGTCTCTCTCTCTCTCTCTCTCTCTCTCTCTCTCTCACTCACTCACTCACTCACTCACTCACACACACACACACACACACACACACAGTAAAACACTTCAAGATGTGGTCGTAGTCCTTTTATAAACAAAATAAACAACAACAAAAAACCAGTTTGTGAAGGCATGTCCTCAATAAGATAGCTGCAGACTCAAAGATATATAGGCTACACGCCTACACACATTCTCCACACGCATCTCTGTGTCATATGTTCTCGGTGCTGAGCAAGATATGTGTTCAATACATGTGCCACTTCCTACTGCACTCCCATCCTTACGTCTCAAATCTCATATTCCTTCCTGATTTTCACTTCTGCTGCTTACACATGAACCCTGGTAACCTTCACAGAATGAGCAAACTGAAAATCAGTTCATCTGTTTTTTCTTGAACGACGTCTTGGAGATTACTCTGTTGGTAAATTGGTACCTGTAGGAACAAAAATGAAAGTCTGTGAGGAGAAACTAAAAGTCATTTAATATAGACTGCAATTATTCTAACCACGGTTAGAGTATGAGCTTAAATACTGAAATGTATATTTGGTGCAGAAACTAACAAATGATGACACAGGAAACTCTCTGATGATTCTAAAAACAAGAACCAGGGTAAATAACAGATACTTCTATGAAATTTACATATATTTGCGTCACTTCTATGGAATTAGAGAAGTTAAAAGCTGAACACGTGCAATAGCACATGTGGCACTGTGCGCAGTGGAAGTTGAAAGCAGGTTGAAGCGGGTTTCAGAGGACGTTAGGTCGAGCTGAGACTACCACAGTGCAAGCTGCCACAGGGCTGCGGTGGCAGCATTCTCACACCAGCCACTTCCTCAACCTTCTCACGCTATGAGGCTCGCTGAGCTGTCAGCATGGCTATATGTGCATATGTCTGTGTCTTCACGAAAGCTTTAACTCAACAGCGTTGTGTAACTGTGGTTTCACAGCAGACTGATCAGTGAGCCTAATTTTCTGTTTTAGGAAGGCATTTGCATTTTCTTTCTTATACTGTTGGTTTTCTTCTCCTCTGGGTCTATTCATAGCTTAGTGCAAAGAAGAAATTAATTTTACTCGTCCTCAAAAAAAAAACCTAAAACAAGACACCTGTACAAAAAATAGAAAACATACTGTATAACATCCAAACTGCATAAAGTATACAAAAAATGTTATGAAACACCTGAATTGTGATCACCCCCTTGTGGTGGCTAGTGGGTAATACACACTGTATGTATTAACAACTAACAAAGCCTTTCATGCGCATTAATTTTTTTTTTTAAATTGTAATATGGAGGTAAAAAGGTTTTAGCATACAAACATAGCATATTCTCAAAACAGGTGATTAATGGTCACGTTCACATTTTCACCTCAATCCTATATTAATTTGCTATTAGCTTTTAATATAATACTGGTTCTTATGATGTGGGATAGAATCAACAAGTGGTGAGCTTTATTAGCTGACATAAATCCAAAAACAAATTCCAAAAGGTAACAAACAAACAAGAAACACAGTAGATGGCAAAAACTGGAGAGTATGGAGAATAACTCAGGAATCTGTTGATGTGCATTAGACAGCAGGAGACAAGTGAGGAATAAGGCACAGCTAAAAGAACCTAACACAGGTGAACACGATCAGAAAACCAGGATGTAAACCTAAAAACACAAGCAAACACAAACTATCAAAGTAAAACAGGAAATGGCCAAAAAAACAATTCAACAGGAAAGAAAAAAATGACTGAAGATGATAAGAGAACAATTTAGGACAAGCCTGATTTTATTTACATTTTTGGCAAAGATAATTTTAGAGGCCTGAGGTAAATGTCGTGAGATAAATGTAAGTCTTGATAGTGATTTTGTTCCTGCCTTGGTTATAGTGTTTGAGAAACAATGCTTTTATTTTGTGATGTAATTTAAAAACAAAAAATATATAGTACATATCTTAATAGTCAGAAAAATATTATTAATTTTAAATATAGGTCAAAATGTTTTACATGTACAATAGTTGTGTAAATCACTCAAAATCTAACAGGCTCGTTTGTTTGGATGTGGAGGTAATTATTTTATTTAAGTGTACATGACACATCATTCAAGGTTGCTGCTTATTCCATAAATAACTACATAAGTACTTCTTTTTTGTCCACTGCAAAAAAGAAGGAAGTATGTAGCATTTCTGCACAGAACAGTTTCACTTTGTTTTTCTCTCGCTCTTGACTCCTCTTGTATCTTGTGTGTCTCAGACATCTTCTTTCTTGTGTTATACTGTGAGATCAGATTAGAGGTCACAAGTGTTCAGAAAGACTTAAAAAAACTTCTGGGAACAAGTCTTTAAAGACTATTTTTGAACAGATTTATCCTTCCTTGGCTGTAGTCTTGTGTGAATTAGCATAAACTGACAAAATGACCGAGTGAGCTTGAACTACTGTCAGATATGAAAGTTGCTTCAACAGAAAATGCACCTGTAATCTACTTAGACATATGTCTGTCATTCATCATACTGTAAAACTGCCAATATCTTTGTCAGAAAGCTACATGCACACTTGTAGTCAGAGGTTTAGATACACCTATGATGGACACAAGTTACTGTGAGTAATGATGGGCTCATTATATCTGTACTGCTCACTATTATTTCTATTGTGATGTAAGCCCTTGGATCGCCACCTTCCTTCTCTTCTACTTCCTAAGTAGCTTCCTTCTAATGATATTATATCACTAAGCTCTCAGGTACTTTCCGACCAGTGTGGAAGTTTGCTCTGCGTATCTATAATTCCCACACGTGTTGCATGGTTGGTGTATTTTATAAGATAACATTCTGGGTATTTTTCTCTACTATCAAAGTAAAGCCAAGCAGAGATGTGATATTCTGGTGAGGGCACTGACCTTTATGTATTCTGCAAAGTACTGTGCTCATATGTTTCCCGGAGGTTTGGCTCTTACGCCAAGTTTAAAGTGCATGTTTTTGTGCATTAATGTCTCTTCAAACCACCAGATGGCAGAAGTGAGCAAACATGAACAGACGGACATGGATTACTGCTGTTCAAGCTGCTCGCCACTAAGCAGGCCAGAAACAAAACCTCCATTTTTATTTTTAACATGTACCATGATCTTATTTGGAGAACGCTGAGAACACTGTGTGACACCGTCATGCACAATGAAACAAATAATGAACAAGAGAACTGAAACTCAAACGCTGTGAAGAACAACAAAATTCTTCTAAAACAATGAGAGAGACTGATAAAGTCATACAGAAATGATCAGTTCAACTTATTTTTGGTAAATGTGGTTTTACAAGTTACTGAGTCATGGGTTATACTCAGTTTTTTAACAGATGGCTTCTACATTTTGCCTTAGTTTTTGATAAATAAATAATGATACCATGTGAAATGCTATGTTGTTGCTCAACTGAGGTTGTATTTAAATATTTTAAAGCCAGATGGTTTTCTTATTATGTATTTATACATAAGACCTTAGAATTGACAGAAGTTGTTTTTTCTTCTCACCACAGCCTACAGCCTTTCTGTGATGCATGGATATTAAGAAATGAAGTTCAAATAATAATAACTTCAAAAAAAATGTTACACTAAGTTAGGCTTTATGTAATTTCAGTTCATGGTCAAGGCAACTGCCGGAGTTGAAACCGAGCACCAGAACGGGGCTGAATTTTGTATTTTAAAGATTATCGTGCATTTTATTTAATATTTGGAATCATATATGCATACATTTACTTTTAACCAAAATTGTTTAAGGAAAATAATAAAATAATGTATGCTGCCTTTACATTTAAGGGCAGCATTTACAGTTTTGTAGAGACAGGCTGCAGCTTTTCATGGTTTTCCCCCTGTAGTATATATCTCTTAAAGAAATATAAATGTGCATAAAATGTAAATTTTAAATAAAAGTCACTTTCAGTAACAAGTCATCAGCTTTCAGCTAAAAGAAATGGGGCATGTATAAAAGATCATGCGAGGGTGAGTTCCTCTTTGTTTTTTGCCTCATTTGTGTTATCGAAACGTCACAGGTCTGTGACATAATGTAGATTACAAAGGTACAAAGGCATGCTGACCACTGCATCCAGTGCACAGACTGTGTGAAATCAGTGTCCTACCTTCCTGCTCCTCTCCACATTTTATTTTATTGCCAACACTACAAATCTGTTTTATTTTTGTTATATCAGCTCTACATTTTTAAATACAAACGCCTGCATTTTATGTCCAACAGATGTTATCAGTGATTTTATTTTTTCATGAAAAATCCCAAAACAAAACAAAGATTTTAGAGATGTTAGAATGCATTTCTTCATTTCATATATAGGATTCTTGAAGTGAACACAACTTTAAAAACTCCTCTCTCTGTACATTCTGTGCAAGAAAAAGGTAAATGAATATAACTGTCAGCTGCTGCAGCCTTTGTCTGTTGCACTCTGTAGACTGCGTTCATTAAAAAGTACAAGGAACAAGGAAGTGTGTGGAGGAACACATTTCGCAAGTGTTAAGCATTTCTTCATCAACTTGGGTTTGGTGTTGCTGATGACTCATTTTGCTCTCAGTATGTTTTCTGTCTCAATCATGTGGACACAGCAGAGAAACTTTTATCTGGCAATAGGTGAGCTGCATTTGACATTTTTAGGTTGATCTGTCTTATTTTTCTATACTTACACAAAGGGTCAGCGTGACAAGCACTGTTACATTCAAAATGCCTTAAATTTAGAGTTAAATTTCCTTACACCTGATCTTTTCTTTAGTGTGTCTATATCAGAAACAAAACATGTTCATGTCTTGTTTCAGGTGTTTAATGAACCTTTGTTTTTTCTGCAGTCTCTTATCTCTTCATCTCATCTTCAGCTTCTGCAGGTCAGTCTTCTTTTGCGAAATTTGTTTCAGATTATAAGGTTTTGCATAAATATCACCACATGCAGAAAATGCTGAGCACTCTGTTGTCTTGTCTCTTTCTTTTGCTAGATTTTAACATCAGTTTAGTTGAGCCAGCTCGGTGCTATGGAAGAGTAGAAGTCTATAACAGCACCAGCAGGGGAAAACTCTGTGATGATTCCTGGGTCTTAAATGATGCTATAGTGGTCTGCAGAGAGTTGAAGTGTGGGAAGGCACTGGCAATCTCTCAGTTGGTCAGCTTTAATTCATCAAAAGAAGAAATGTGGCTTGCTGATGTAAACTGTTCGGGGCGAGAAACGTCTCTAATGCAGTGTCCTCATGGAAGATTTGGAGAAAATGGCTGTGAACGCAATAAGGGTGTGGTTGTTGTCTGTTCAGGTGATTTACATCTACATTTTAGAGCTAGGCCCATAGAGCTTTATAAGTCAATACACTTTGATGCAGGCATGCCACTTTGAGGTTAATAGGTGCAGCACAGGGGTGTAACACTTCCTACCTCAGAGCAGTTCCAAGATAAATTAGATTAATGATAAATGGTATTCATATAATTCCTGCAGTACAGTTGGCATTATAATAAGTAGACAAAGGAATGTGAGAATGCAAAATGATAATATGAGGTTAAGCATATTGCCTGTTTTGATCGTCACTGTAAACAAACACAAGAAGAAAAGTAAGAACAGTAAAGCTTCTGAACAGGAATATGAACCATCAACAAGTGACATGATGTGGCTGCAAAAATATCACTTTTGCATTAATGCCTGTGAACCTTGTATATAAATATCTATTGTATATATCTGTATTTCTTGACATGCAAAGAGCATCTTATAGAGGAAGTCTTCATGACAGTTAGGATCAGCAGTTGAGTTGCTAAATTTAAAGTAACAAGTTGTGATTATGAATGACACTTCACAGTTGCCAACAGGTCTATTTTGATGATATTTAGTACAGTGTACAGTAATAGATTCCTAGACGACTGAAGTGAATGAATGCAAAATGTCTTACTTTAACACTGTAAAAGTGGTATGGACTGAATGCTACTTTGTTTTCCTATTTTTAATGTAGAGACCCTGCAGCAGCCCAACATCTCCCTGGCATCTCTTGATGAAGTACAGGTCTGGGGTCCTAATGCAGATGCAGAGATCACCAAGGGCCATAGCTTTGTCTTAACCTGCTTCATTAACTCAAGCATCAATCCAAGCCATTTCAGTCTGATCTTCTCCAACATCCCACACATCAAGCCATCTGTCAACAACTCAGCTTCCTTTAGTTTCCCTGTAGCTGAGTATAAACACCAGGGCAACTATAGCTGTGTGTATTACATAACTCTGGAATCAGAGAACTTAACTTCTACCGAGTCAGCACCGATTCATGTCGTCATCAAATGTAAGTACTGGACATAAATATCACCATTACTGTATGTCATCTTCAGTAATTTACAGGGTCACTTGATCCAGTGCAACAAGTTCAAATGTGTAATGGAAAATGATAACACAACCAGCAATTCAAAGTAATACTTCCAAAAGTCGTCATTCCTGTATTATGTAAACATTAAGCAAACACTTTTTAAGATGGATCAGCTTTTACATCAACACTGTACTCACCAGCCACTTCATTAGGTGTACTCGTTCAACTTCATGTGGCAGCAACTCGATGCAGAAGAATTTTATTTAACCCTTTAAATAAAGGGGCGATCGTGGCTCAAGAGTTGGCAGTTTGTCTTGTAATCAGAAGGTTGCCGGTTCGAACCCCGGCTCCAACAGTGTCGGTCGTTGTGTCCTTGGGCAAGACATTTCACCCGTTGCCTACTGGTGGTGGTCAGAGTGCCTGGTGGTGCCAGTGTCCGGCAGCTTCGCCTCTGTCAGTGCGCCCCAGGGTGGCTGTGGCTACAATGTAGCTTGCCATCACCTGTGTGTGAATGGGTGGATGACTGAACGTGTAAAGCGCTTTGTAGTCCTTAGGGACCAAGTAAAGCACTATACAAATACAGGCCATTTACCATTTAAGACCTACCATAGAACCAAGTCCGCCAGAGCTTATCTTTATATTTTTACATGCCGTAGTGCCATTTTTGGGAGCATTTCAAGTTGCTATTCATCAATACAACCATTATAGCCCAAACTTTAATAATATGTATGCATTAAGTGCAAAATAACTACACAAATGGCAAAAAAGTGCCGTAAACTACAAAAAAAATAGAAAATCGTTTTTGGTTTTTTTACATCTAGTTAGAGAAATTTAAGAGGTTTATCCCTCAAAACTGTATATACAAAAACATTGCACAAAATAGTTTCCAACAACAGGAAATTTATTTTGAGTGTCTTCATGTTTTTGTTTTTGAGATACACCAATTTTTATATACTGCAGGAAAAAATGAAAATAAATATTATAATGCAAATTTGCAAAAAAAAAAAAAAAAAACAGCATGTGCATCAAAATAAACTATTTCCAGCAGTGCAATTTGAGTTCTAAGCATCCCAGAAACGACACAGAAAAGCATAGAGCCAAACATGACTTTTAAAAAAACCCCACCAGTGTAGGCTTATAAGGCCCCGAAGGTAAAAAAAAAAAAAACCCAAACAAACTACATTTTCTTGTTGCTGCAAGTGCTTTTTATGCAACTTTTGCAAAGCTTTATGTGGAAGGAAACTGTGACCTAGGACAAGCTGATGGCATAAGATGTAAGTACAACTCATCCGGTTTCATATGCAAAATTTTTTATTGCGCTAGCTTACGTGGTTGCAGTTCTACAGTGATTTAAAAAAAGTTACGCAAAACGGAGCGTTCCCGCTCCGACCGGTTATAAAGGGTTAAGGGATTTTAAATGCTGGTGGTCCGAGTATTTCTGAATCTGTGGATGTACTGGGATTTTCCCTCACAACCATCTTTAGGGTTTACAGGGGATGATCAGAACATTTTTTCTGCTCTTGCTCTTGACGAAGGCGGTCGCACTTTTCTCCTCTCCTCCTCCTCCTCTCCCTTAGCTTCCCTGCTTAGCCTCTTATGTCCTTGTCTAGTCTCGTGTTTTTTGTATTACTTTTCCCTGGAACACTCTCTCACAGTCTTTTCTCTAAAACCTAAAAGAGGAATTATGGATTGGATCAACTGGTCCCTGAATGCAATTGACACCCCATTCTCAACGAGAAGTTTGGGCTTGGGTGAGCCTGAGTGCTGAGGATATCTACCTATTCGGAACCATGGTAACAGGGTTCTGGTGGATCGGAGCTGGCTTGGCCCTGACTTATCGAAGAATTAAGAAAGCGGAACCGGCTGTTCAAACTCCCACAAGGCTGCCCGCTGGGATTGAAATGATGGGAGAGGAGTGAGTTTCTCAAAATGGGCTCATTGAGTGCAGCACGGATAAGATCTTGGAGAGGCTACGGCTGCTGTGACTGCAGACTGGATACATCTCGGAAGGGCTAGCTTGGAATAACATCTCTGGGCGCAAATTGGATGACATCTCGGGGAGGCACACTGCCGTGAGTTCTCAGAAATCGGCTCCTTGAGCACAAGAAATGACAACATCACAGAACGCAAGTATGGTGAAGCTCGCGGCTCTCCAACGTGAGATTGAGAGACCAGTGTTGGACTGTAGAACTGCTTTGAAATTCTCATGAGCCGTTTGCACTAAAGTAAAAACCACCATCACTTATGCGGATACCCCTTTGGCGCCAGTTGCGGTCTCAAGGCTGGAGCTGAACAACAACACCCTGATAACGACTGTGTTTAGTCTGTTCCTTCCCATTCCATGCAAGGCCACCTGGGTTGGCTGGAAGACTGTTTACTTAGCCTGGCAGGGCGAAGGACGCTGTCTCAGCTGAACTCTGGACACGCACACACATACATATACACTGATATGCACACACTCATCCCCCCTCCCTTTCCAAATGCCTTCGACGCTTGTTCCCTTCCGATGCTGACGGGGATCAAGGAGACCAGCGCACGCAGGCCCGGATGTACTGTCTAATTCGGCTGTCTCTCACGCTTTACCCACCCCTGTTTCTTGTCATGTGTTTCTTTGGTGCATTAAGAGTTTTTTCATGTGCTATGTGCAGAGGTGTTTTTTTTTTTTCTGTTCTCAAACTGATCTCCCTGTTGGAGCTCAGTCTGGGGGGAGTTATTTTTCTCCTTATCTTTCCTCATGTGGTGCATTTTCCATTGTTATACCTCTCTGACCTGTCTTCCCCATGTGATGGTTTGTGTAATGTATGTATGGTCAGAGGGTAAGATGGCGCCGCCATTGCGTGCAATAGGTCGACAGCCTTATGAAATTTCCCCTTGTGGGACTAATAAAGGTATATCAATATCAATATCAATATCCAAAAAGGAGAAAATATCTACAAGCTGATTGGAAGGCAACACTAACTCAAATAAATTGTTCAGCCAAAGTCTGAAGATCAGCTCTGAAAGCACAAAACATCAGACCTTCCAGTAGATGAGCTACACCAGGTAAAGACTACACTAAGTTCCTCTACTGTCAGTTAAGAACAGAAAACTGAGGCTACATTTCACACAGGCTCACCAATATTAGACTACAGAAGACTGGTTGTTGTTCCCTGTTCTAATGAGTACTGATTTGTGCAACATTCAGATAGTAGTATCAGAAATTGGTGTAAACAGCACTCCACATCTAAACTCAGCAACTCAGTGTTACCTTGGGTCCCAGTGTTCCAACATCTAGAAGAACTGGAGATTGACGATGTACAACACAAACTCTACGGCAAGAGGGCGAGAAGTAATAATCATCAGTAATGTCAGGTAAAGGGGGAGATATCATCCTTTTCACTCTCCTAGATTAGGTATTAAGCTCTAGGATCAACTGGTGCGATGAAGGCGTTGAATGCGAGAACAGCTGACCTGAAAGAGAAGATCGTGGTTGTACTGGGAACCTGGTCCATCTGTGCCCGACTACTAAAACTACAGAAAGTTTACTAGAAGATGTGAATGCAGCATTACAGACAATCCCTGCTGAGACCGTAACTGAAACCAACCAGGTGATCTACACCATGGCAACAGTAATCCTTTAGATGCTTGGCTACAAGATAAACAAACACAAGGAGCAGTACCCCTTCCTGCAGTTTCTTACATCACTCATGTTGCAAGAGAAAAGTCATCTGTTATGATGTTAGAGCGCTTCAACAGACAGCATGCTAATGCCGCTCTGTTTCCACACTAAGTGCTGCTCGCAACTGATCTTGAAACGGTGAAAGCAGAGCTAGTGGCAACTTGTCTGGTATGCTAATCTTCCATCAGTCTCCCATCAAGAGAAAAAAATGCAAGTTGCTGGCCTCTTAGCTTGACAACCTCCAGCCATTTTTAACAGGACATGGAGATGCCCATGAGAATATCTACCCCATACATACTGTCACAGACAACAGATAACTCCATATACAAGATAACAGTAAAGTAAGGGATGGATAGATCAAGCCAAATTAAAAAAGAAAAAGAAAGAAAACCTGACCACAGCCTTACTGCTTCCATAAGAATTATGAAGATAAGTTACAGGATAAGCTGTTCATCAAATGCACTTTATTAACTGATCATCAGCTAGTCAGGTCTGTTTTAATACAATTCCACAATGTGTCTGGGAGTGTGGACTTTCCATCAACTGCCTCAACTGCAAAGAAACCCAAGTGTGAAATCAGGACCCACACACCATTTGATTGTCAGTCGTAGCACTTTTATTCGGATCCACAATGTTTTCCACTGCTACAGCACCTTGTGTTCAACTGGGAAGCTAGCTTTCCAGCTCCCTCCCACACCACACACACCTCTCCTTCCCAACTCCAGACACTAAAAGGGGGGAGAGCTTATCAGTTAAAATCCCTCACACCTGTACTCTTCGACCTCCCGATACTGCCCCTCCACTGCAGCAGAGTCAGAGACCGAACCTCTGCCACACCAAGAGCAACATCTCAGACTCTTCAGCTATATTGAACAGTATCATGTATGGCAAAAACTAAACACACCATATCAGCACAAACACTTTGCACTAACTTTTAAGCACAGATGTAAATGAGTTTGGTTTTGTTGTACTGTACCTGGGCACTCAGCAGTCATTGAGGCCACCATGAACTAATTGCTTCCATATTGTAATCCTTTATTTCTTAGTTCCTTGGCTGCTGCTGGTCTATTTAGTAGTTCCTGCTGCGATCCTGCTGCTACTGCTGGTCTTGATGGTGGTGTGTCTGGTAATCAGGAGACGACGAGCAAAACAACGTGAAGGCCATGTCCAGATGCAAAGTCTGTCCTTACCTGTGCAATGTATCAAATGAACAAATATGTCGGTGATATAGATGTGCATCAGTCAGTCAATCTTTTCTACTACTTATGTTTCAGTTACTGCCACAAATCGTTATGAAGATGAGGAGGAGGAGGAGGAGGAGGAAGAGGAGAGGGACTATGTGAATGTTCAACCAGTGGACAGAAACGACACACAAGAAGTGGATGAAAACAAAACTGATGATCATGATTATGAGAACATGGAGAATGAAGATAATTACATAGGATGCACACTGCTGTCTGTGAGTATAGAGGACAGAGCAGAGGAAGATACAGATGAAACCAGTGATGATGATAATTATGAGAACATGAAGGATGAAGATAATTACATAGGATGCACACTGCTGTCTGTGAGTATAGAGGACAGAACAGAGGAAGATACAGATGAAACCAGTGATGGTGATAATTATGAGAACATGAAGGATGAAGATAATTACAAAAGAAGCACACCTCTGTCTGTGAGTATAGAGGACAGAGCAGAGGAAGATACAGATGAAACCAGTGATGATGATGATAATTATGAGAACATGAAGGATGAAGATAATTACAAAGGATGCACACCACTGTCTGTGAGTATAGAGGACAGAACAGAGGAAGACACAGATGAAACCAGTGATGATGATAATTATGAGAACATGAAGGATGAAGATAATTACAAAGGATGCACACCACTGTCTGTGAGTATAGAGGACAGAGCAGAGGAAGACACAGACAAACCCAGTGATGATGATGATGATGATAATGAAAACGACTATGAAAATGTAACGGAGGAATATGCTGAACAAACTGTAGACATTTATGGAGAGGAGCAGAAATTTTATCAAATCTTTTAGGTTTCCAATGATTAGTATCAACCTGGGGAGCCAACATATGAGAACTACACAAGAAGAATACACACATCAACACTTTGAAGTCCTTTGATCTTCTCGGTGTGAACTTCTATTTCATAGTGTGACATGAATCTAATATCTAATAAAATCTAATGCAGTGTTTGTTAACTCAGCCAAGGCAGTTATGTTTATGTACGTGAGTCATTCTGTCTATATGTACAAAAAAACTGTACAATAGCTTGAAAGGTTTTTAACAATTTTTGATTAAACCTTGTAGGGGTGTAGGACAGGGCCATGTTAACAATCCGTTAACATGACCCTTACATCCACCAAAGTCACCAAAGTCAACTCAGTTAGTTAAAACTGATATAAACCCATATACTACAACAAAGAAACTAGGATTTTTACACATGCGGTGTGAGCTGTCAACATATAGAAAATACCTAAAGTCCTACTTTAACTGCAACCACTCCTTCAAGGTCAATAGATTGAGCTGAAGGTACCACATATGATATATATGGATATATAAGTTCAGGATCTGTGCTAACAAAACCACGAAGGCAAGGCACCGAGGAGGTATCCTGATTAGATTACTCAGCCTCTTCACTTGGCTCCTTTCAATGTGAATGAGCAGAAGCTCTACTTTGAGCTTCCTCTGGATGTCTACTGTATTTACACTACCTGCAACACTGAACCAAACCACTACCCAGAGGAAACTCATTTCAACAGCTTACATCCACAACCTCATTTATTTGGACACTATGCTGAGCTTAGTCCTGCTGACATCCCACAAGTCTACCAGGACAGTTCATGCTTCACTTTCCCACCACTGTGAACCGGATCCCACCAGGCATTCTGTTTCTAGCACAGAATCAAGGCCTTGGATTTGGAGCTGATGACTCATCTTCACTGCCGGCCAAAAAATCAAATGTAGGTTGAATGTTGTCATTTTTATCGATGCCTACACAACATGCCATTTGCAAAAAGAAGTTGCCAGGATTGCCCCATGTCTCTGACACTATTTGTTATATTCAGTGTTGGGAAGGTTATTTTAAAATGTATTCCACTACAGATTACAGAATACATGCCCCAAAATGTATTTTGTAACATATTCTGTTACGTTACTCAATGAGAGTAACGTATTCTGAATACTTTGGAATACTTAATATATTATCATGCTTTTTACAACTACATGGATGCACTATTGCCATGTGATTTATTACTATTACTGAAGGTTACTCGCCATACCAATACCTTATTATAAAATGACTAACGTAGGGTGGACATTAGGTAAGATTGCACTTTTTGCAGCCATCTCGTATAGAAAACTATTCCGCGTGTATATAAAACAGGTCCGCGGCTCCGAATGGTAGTAAAGGGACCTCTGGCTAATACGTCGGGTTCCGTGTCGGGCCCGTAACTAGTTTTACTGTCTCTCGCTAGCAAAGAGAGGCGTTGAAAGGCTGCTTCAACTGAACTTATTGTTTCAGAGGAAAACATGAACACTGTGTACAGTCGAGTCTTAATAGCTTACTTACAACTGGGCTCGTCAGGCACTGTTTTTGGCTGCAGTGGTTATTATTATATTTACTTGCTTCATACATGCTATGCATGTAACACACTGCCTATTGCCTTCATATTAAATAATTTTTTGAATAATACTTTTTAAATATATTTCTTCACATAATTATGCAAGTAGGGTTGGACATGGGCCGCGAGATTGAGACACAGGCATTAGAGCCTCTTAATGTGTGTTTTGTTTGAGTTTCCACCGGCGTGGAATTACCAAAAATAAAGAGGGCATAGCCTAGCATATGAGACTGGAAAAGACCGCTGTGTAATCCATTTATTTCAACAAAGTAACTGTATTCTGAATATCACCTTTTTAAACGGTAACTGTAATGGACTATATTACAATATCATTTGATATTGGAAAGCATCAGTAATTAATTAGAGATTATGTATCGGAATTTCAGGAGCAGGACCACGCCTCCAAACACGTTCCTTCCGGTTGTCATCTATATAGGTTCCCCCAGTTCTGCAAGCTGTTCATTCTCGTTTACGTGCCCCACCTTCCCTTCCTCCTTGTTCTCAATTCTTTAACTTCTTCATTTCTTTTTAGTGCATGGGTATCTGCCAGGCCCGGGAGCCATCAACAGTACCGTTCGAGGCCTTCCCCAAACCACAGCTCAATTCATGTCAAAGCATTCACATTTACCTACGAAAACGCTGTCAAACCTAAAATACGGACGTGGGCCCAGCTAGTGAATGTATTCTTAATGTAGCAGTGATGGCCTGGCTTCTAATGGGTTTTGCCCCATAGATAATAGACCCTAGCTGCCATGGCTAGCCAGCCCCATGACCAACCTAACCTAGCTCCTTAAACTAGCCCCTAACTAAGAAGAACTGTTTCATACATTTCAAAGATGAACTAAGTAAATAAAACACATACATAGATATATAAGAGCATCTGAGAAGGCTGACTGTATTGTAGCCAGGCTGACAAAGAGTCACAGCTCTGTTGAACCTTTATCTATTATTAATCTTAACTTGACAAACTTCCTTACAAATAAAATTTCAACCATTCAAGATGGAAAAAGAGGAATTTATACTGCTTTCATCTCTCTGAGGTAACATTAATAATTAGTTAGTCCATTCCATCAGCATATCTATTGGCCCCCAACTCTATAAGATTATTCAGTATTGCCTATATGGCTTATATTTGATCCAAGTGTTTTACCCAATTATAGCTTTTCTTCAAAAGTCTCTGTGCTTGTCTTGCTTGGCCTCGCAGTGGGCACCATACTGCATATGAAGATGCTACCTAGTTCTATTTATATACATACTAGTTATATTTATGTATTACACCAGACACACACACCATCTTGATTAAACTACGGCCATGTCTTAAAGACAAAGACCTTGAGCACCTGTGATTTTCTACTTTAATGACATGAAATATGGTGTCCAAATACATTTCACAGACCAGATGTGCCACGGCCCAGCGGCACGAGGGAACAAAGATGGACACAGGTGCAGAAACCAACCCGGAAGCGAGACGGTAGGGAACAAATGATTTATTTCCGCCCACAGGCAAACAAAAGCAAAAGCAAAGCGGCGCCACCACACTCGTGGCACGTAGGATTATCTACGATAATGAGGGCGACCTAGACACCTCTAGGAGACGGCTGAACAGCAGAGGCAGCGGGGAGGTAGAAACAGGACTAGGCAGGGGCCAGGGCACTGGAATAAGAGGAGATCACGGTCAGTGGGATCCAGCAGACAATCAACGATCCTCCACAGTTGAATTGAGTTGCCTTACTTGGTTTCAGGTGGAGGGGACAGGTGGGGCGGAAGCCCGGAAGCGGTCGAAGCGTGGGGAGGCAGGCAAGTGAGTGGTGGGCCGGCAGGCCACGTCGTGTTAGCAGCAGGCGGGCCAGGTCCAGGAAGGCGGGAGTGAGGGAGACAAGATCTCCACTCCAGGTGCTACTTCTGAGGACAAGAAAAACAAGTAAGACATCACACAGCGTCTGACAGAGTTATGGTGCTCCACTTGACTGACATGGGGATAGCAGATACTCAGGCGATGAATGGTTTAGAGCGCAGGTCTGATATACTGCTGGCATGATTGCTCACAGGTGGTCAGCCAGGGAGGAGCAACCGAACTCCGCCCAAAGGAGGAGGGGCCGCTGTCGGAGACCTGCAGGTGCCCACCCAGACCATGACAAGATGCTGATTCAGAGTAGCAATACCATGAATAATGTGACAAAACCTTGGGTTGAGTTTTGACCAGGATGTAGACCTGCATTCTTTCATCTACATTGTATTACCATCAATAACCCTGTAACACCAAGTGTGTCATATTTGATAAATGATATTTGAGGCATCATCAGTGTGAGGCTATTTTTCCTGACAAAGTTGATGCATATATCAGTCACATGTAGTTCTTTCTGGAATTTTTGGTTTTTAGTAAGTTGTTCATTAGTTAGACTGTAATGTTAGTCACACTTTGCTTCGTGATATTTTTGTCCTGTGACAGCTGTAGTTTCAAAATATATGCAACACTAACACTGCGACCTTTGATCAAAGTAGTTTCGTATATTTTTGTTTTCATCTTGCTGTCTCTTGTCAGAAAACATAAAAGTGGTGAGAAACTAAGTGTGAAATGCTTAGTTCCTCTTTAGTTCATCTGCAGTACGCCCAACAATGGAAATTCTTCTGAGCTTGGTGTGAGCTTCTACTTCTCTGTGAAACTGATAACTTGTGTTGAAGGTCATAACTGATGAGAGCTGTGACCCAGATATCAAACAGCATCTTTTTGCATCAAGCCAGCTACATTATCACAGTTTTAAAAATGTTTTAAAACTATATATATATATATATATATATATATATATATATATATATACATATATATATATATATATGCTTAGTTTTCCATTGTTGGGCGTACTGCAGATGAACTAAAGAGGAACTAAGCATTTCACACTTAGTTTCTCACCACTTTTATGTTTTCTGACAAGAGACAGCAAGATTATATATATATATATATGCTAGATGATGTTAATGCAGCACTACGGGCAATACCTACAACCACGATTACCGACACTAACAAGCTGATCTACAATACGGCAGCAGTGATCAGTGAGATGCTTGGCTACACGTTGAACAGCGACAAGGGGCAGTACCCTCCATGGAGAAGGAGGCTAGAGGGCAAGATCAAAGTAGCACGGAGGGAGGTTAGCCAACTAACGGAGTTGCAGAAAGGTGCGACAAATAAGGTGCCTAAGAAATACAGCAAGCTGTCCATACCTGAGGCCTTGGAAACTGCCAAGCAAAGACTCACAGCCTTGGCCAGCCGCTTGAGGAGGTACACCAGAGAGATAGAAGGCAGGAGAATAAACCAGCTGTTCTCCACAGAACCAGCAAAGGTGTACTCCCAGTGGCAAGGGAACAATAAGAGAACAGCACCACCAAGGCTGGAGACGGAGCAATACTGGAAGAGCATATGGGAGAAGGATGCAACCCACGGCAATGCTCAGTGGCTGGAGGATCTGAGGGCAGACCACAGCGACCTCCCTGAACAGGGTCCAGTAACCATCACAGTGGCAGATATCCAACAAAGGGTCTCCAGTATGAAGAGTTGGACATCACCAGGGCCCG